TCCGTTCATGGATCATTGGGGTTTGTTAAGTTATCGCTTGTATTTGTTTACTTTGCTTTATTTATGGTGGCTCGCAGCCGGCATAAGAATAAATAAAATAAATTTTACAAATTTCAATTTGAAATTTAAAAAGATGAACGAACAAACAGATTTATCATGGTCAAAGACCAGCAAAAAAATGTAAAAGGACTACACACTTACTGAAAATCCTGCCCTTAGTCTCAGGGATTCTTACTTACCTGCCTATTTATTTTTATTACATTTATTTATGCTCCACTTTCCCCCTAAAAAAACAACTCAAGGCAGCTTACAAACTTTTTAAAAGAATAAAAAGAGGTTTTTAAAACCCTTTAGCTTTAAAAAACACACACCATAAAATCATGTAAGCCAACTCCATTGTAAAACCGATAAAACCACTAAAGTCAAGTAACTATGTTCTTTTTATTTATTTATTTTATTAACCTTGTATACCACGCTGATTAGTGATAAACGCTACTCTGGGCAGTTTACATCCAGCTTGATGTTAATGTTAAAACTATTAAAATCTACAAAGGATGCAATTAAAAACAACACAGCAGGGCTGCTGTGTTCGAAATCCCTTCTTAAAATCAGCGGAAACGGATTGCAACTCGTGCGTCGCACAATCTGGGAGCCACCCGCGGGCTCGTTCGGCGGGCATCTGAAACGGCGGATATTTTTAGCAGGGCCACTCTTGGAGAACTTTTAAGATCCAGGCGGTGCTGCAGGGAGGCAAAACCCGCACCTTTTCGGACGCTACAGATTAGAAGCCAACGTCTTGAACTGGGCCCAGTAAACAGAGATGAGGGCATGTTTTCCTAAAGCTTCAACAGCTTCAGAGTGGAAGGCCAGCCTACACGGGCATCGGAACGGCACCCTTGAAGGAGGCCAGAGGTCCACCGTGCCCAACGAGGAGCCCGCCGAGAGGACGCACGCAGTTGGGGAAGGCCGCTGCTCCTTCCCTCTTTGGACATGATCTTGGTTTTCGGAGGCGCATGCGCTGGATCCGGAGGTGGATGGGCTTCTGCTAGGGCTGGCGACAAACATCCTCCAGAAATTTGTCTAAAGCTGTGTGTGTTTTGTAAATCTCTAAAGGCCACCTAAATCTAATGACCTTCTCAGTATCTCGTGGCAATTCTTTCCAGCACTGAATGGCACGTTGTGTGAAGAAGCTGCAATCCTCTTTCTGGGATGACCCACCCTCACCTCAAACAGGTCAGGATGATTCAAAGCGATGGAGCGACCGCTCTTCCTAGGCAGCCTTCTAAGCTGGCAGGAAGGTCCTTCCTTCCTTCCTTCCTTCCTTCCACCCATCCATCAACTCCTTCCATCCTTCCACCCATCCATCACCAACTCCTTCCTTCCTTCTCTCCTTCCTTCCACCCATCCATCAACTCCTTCCATCCTTCCACCCATCCATCACCAACGCCTTCCTTCCTTCTCTCCTTCCTTCCACCCATCCATCAACTCCTTCCATCCTTCCACCCATCCATCACCAAC